GTGGAGGGATCTTTAAAGGCTTCTGGGACAGAGTCCTAAGGGATTTTGCTTAGTTTTTCTTTTATAACTCATCTACAGACCAAGACCTTTCTTTGGACATCTCTACCAAGTTTCTACGCCCAGCCGTTCTCTCAAATTAGTGGGGACAAAGTTTCAAGTTAAATATTTAGATTCCCCCATGTTAATCTTATGGGATAAATTCCAACTTTGACGACCTGTGGGGCAAAGCCAAGGGATTTTTATTACATGGATTGGTGAAAGGGGGCGTCTACACAAAAAATACTTTATTTTGAAACGTTGTTTGTAAAAATCCATTCATTATTAACGGAGGAGTAGTGTTTCGTAGAAATCGCCTTCACGTATTATATATAAGGATTACACATCCACCATATTCATAATGTTCTACCACTTCACCTAATAGAGAAAAAAATGATAAAAAATTTGCAAAATAGCACAAATTCATGAAATTAAAAACATAAACATAACTGTAAACAATCCTACTTTGACAGTTAGTTCTCATTGCATATCACAGTTTTTTTGTTGCAGCTAATTCAAATTATCTGTTTTCATAAATGCAAAAAAATATAATGCTGCATCCTGTTGGTAAATCTTATAACTTTTTAATGCTTTTCCATATCATAGAACCAATTTTTACTTTCTCCCCCTATACCATAGTATATGGAGAAAGTATTGTTTTCGTCAAAATTTTCGAGTTTGAGTTTTGACTGGATATATTCGTTTTGGGTCCCCCTGGACCCAAAAAAGTGGTTTTCGAAGTGATGTCTGTGTGTGTGTGTGTGTGTGTGTTGGTGGGTGTGTGTGTGTGTGTGTGTCTGGATGTGTACAGAGCTAGAGACTACACCTGTGGTCCGATATCGATGAAATTTGGTATGTAGGTTCTAATCCATGGTATCTCCAGGCTTTTTTTAATTTTTTTGAAATTTTAATTTTTAATGGGGATTTTCCCAAAAAACCCCATAAAATAACGGAAAAATTGAATTTTCTCAAAAATGGCCCGAACGATTTTGATAAAAATTAAGTATGTTATAGCCCTTTAAATTCTGAACCAAATGGTACAAATCACATTTCTGTAAAAATTTCGGTTCAAAAGTTACGTCAAATTATGTTATTTTCCCATAAAAACCCCATAAAATAACGAAAAATACGATTTTAGAAAAAAATATGGTTTTAATTTAACATAGTATGTTATGGTCCTTAAGGTTTTGATGGTTTTTCATTAAAAAAAATATTTTTAATGGGGATTTTCCCATAAAACCCCATAAAAAACGGAAAAATAGGATTTTCCCAAAAACGGCCCGAACGATTTTGATAAAAATTTAGTATGTTATAGTCCTTTATATTCTGAACAAAATGGTACAAAACCCATTTCTGTAAAAATTACGGTTCAAAAGTTATTGTAAATTATGTTATTTTCCCATAAAGTAACGGAAAAATCTGATTTTCACAAAAATGGCCAGAACGATTTTGATAAAAATTTGATATGTAGTCCTTTAAATTCTGAACCAAATTGTACTAATCCCATTTCCGTATATTTACTCTCACCGCTTACACATGATAAAGGTTGTTGACAATCTTATGGGAGAAAGTATGTGTCAGAATACTGATACCGTTTATTTTAGTTGAAACAGCTGACTAAATTCTTTAATTCCCTTTAAATATGAATAATCATAAGGTTAACATGGGAAACTACAGAGCCACTGGGGCGGAGCCCGAAAGGATTTTTGAGATAATAATATGCCTATATGTTAATCGGGAGGCCAAATTTCAGCCCAATCCGTGCAGTAGTTAATGCGTGATTGAACTTCAAACAAACCAACACACAAACTTTCACATTTATAATATTAGTAAGATTACCAACATTAATCAATATATGTGAAATGTAAATATATGGAGAATATACCACGGAGTGTGAAAAATACTGCTGTCGCGGTGCATAAACGTACCCATTTGATCCATTAGAACTTGAACCGCGCGCGACACATTTTTTGAAGCTGCAATTCTAAAACCTGTCGCGGGTATTTAGAGATCGCGTATTCGCTCAGGCCGGTTTTATGCACCGCGACTGTCGCGTGTCGCGTGTCGCGGCGCGACTCAAGTTCTATTTAGTTAAATGGGAGCATTTATGCACCGCGACAGCGACAAACTGCCGCGCGAGCGACTCAGAGATCTCTAAATACCCGCGACAGGTTTTAGAATCGCAGCTTCAAAAAATGTGTCGCGCCCGGTTCAAGTTCTATTGGATCAAATGGGCACGTTTATGCACCGCGACAGTCGCGGCGCGACAGTAGTATTTTTCATACTCTACGTGGTATATTCTCCATATATTTACATTGATTGATGTTAATAATCTATTATCTATTATATTATTAAAGTGATACAATCAAATTTTATGTAAACGGTTAAGGCCATTTACCAAATACAAATATAAGCATATGATACATCAAAATGAAGCTTAGAGTGTGTAGATTTGCCGAAAAGTATTGATATGGATGAATTTCCTAAGGGCTCTGCCCCACAGGCTGATTTCCAAAGGGCTACGCCTGGCATGCTTCTAAAGTTTAGATGATTTAATTTAATTTAGTTAATGAAACAGCTGGTCAGTACAATGAACTGGTGTTTGTTTATTTACTCGAAAAAGATGTTTGTGGCGCTTTATGTATGAGGAGGGTTATGTTTGATTTTAAAGAAAGGTTGTATATACGTTTTGTAAGTATTGCTCAAAGTTTCGTGTATTTTGTAATTTATATTGTAAGCTAAGTATAAAGAGGCTTGACTAAAATTGAAGAATTGATTATGATAAAACATGTCATTCATGAAGCATCAATATGAAGCAATTGATGCTATTGCTACACTAAGGTATGTTGTCATATTCTTTTGGATCCATTAACATTAAAAGTAGGGGGTTGAAAGTAAGTAGGTTTACACTTTAAAATCAGTTTATATTTTCATACTAAATCATAGAGTTGTTGTATTTTAAAACGCACATCAGCACCACTTTAATAGCTCTCTGGGTCACATTTTCTTCCCGTTGCAACGCACGGGTATAGCAGCTTGTTAGTAGACTGTATATAAATGAGTTCTTTACCCTTTATTTGTAATATAAATTACATAATCATATTATGTAATGACATTTTTAAGAGGTTGACCCAATTCCAACTGTAAATTGTATGTGTTGTTTAAATAACTGGGGTTTTGTCATTAACGTGTACAACACTACAGGGTCTATATTTAAACAACTTAATAATCACTTATACATCACAAACACAACACACAACATTGGATTGAGAACAGACTGATTTCTTTAATTCCCCCACCACCGGATGTGAGTTTACGCGACAAAAAATGTCGCTGTCGCGTGACATTTTGGTCAGCCGCAAGACGTGGCGCCATAGATTACCATTTTCGACTAAAATTACTCATAAAACTAGGGGAATTTGATGAGCGTTATAAATGTGCCGCTTGTATCGTAGCCACCACCGCCGCTTACGTGCCGCTCAGGTTACCGCTCGCCGCTTTAGTAATAACAACCTCCTGGCACGTACGTTTTCTGTGCTCCTGGGTACTTGAGCCAAATGGCAACTTACCGAAATCTAAAAGTTTAGTTAAAGAAAAATGCTTTCATTATAAAAATTGAAATTAAACTTGTTTTGATTAGAGATGGTAAATTTGTAATTATTAAACGAGTCTTCAACTATAGCCTAATTATTATGTTAGGATTTTATGAAGAATGATTTGTTTGCTAGGACTCGATATGTATTCTGGAGAAGGAATTGCAATGTTTAAATGTTCTATCCCTATCCCATGAAAAGATTCGAGACAGGTTCAAAAATACCCCCGCCGCAGCAAACCTGCAGACTAAGCGAATTTCCATTTGCCTGATTGGATTTGCACTAAAATGTCTTCTTAAAAATACTGTATCACATTTATTCCCTATTTAAATAACATTAGTTTAACGAGTACTGACAGTACTATACTTAGGTTTGCTGCAACAGGGAGGGTAAAAAGGTGTTTTTTTTTGTTAAATGTTAATAGTTTAGTATGAAATGAATGCATTTTCAAAATTTGATCAAAATATGATCATAAACAAGCAAACTATAACGGTTTACTTATTCTCCATAAGAATAACATGGGAATTTTAAATTTACAGTTTTTTGGACTTTTCTCCGTAGCTATTAGGCGCATAATAACGCTTCAACATACTGAATTGTTTGTTTTTTAAGCTCTACAAAATGGTTTGGAAAGAAAATGCTAAATTTTAAGTTTTTAGAGTCAAAAATGGAAAACCCCAATTTTTGCTCTATAAAACCCCCCATAAACCCCCGTTCCCATAGTCCGATCATGCTGGTTCGCGAACTCGTTCGAATAAACGTAGGTTTACACGTTTGTACCAAATTTCATCAAAATCGGATTATTTTTGCTCGAGCTATCGCGCTAACGGACACACATATAAATATATAGCCTACTGTATATATATATTAATATATTAATATATATATATATGAATTTGAACGGATGGTGTTTTTGGTCAATTGGGACCTCAAAACGAAAAAGTAAATCGGTCCCGGGTCCAGGTCTTACCATGAGTACTACGGTAATAGCTTATTCCCTATATGGGAAATTCGCTATAAGGTAAACTCGTTTTCACTGCTTTGATAAATCGTGAACAACATCTCGAAGTGAAGTATTGTTGCCCACTACAAACAGATTAGAATAAGAGCAGTTATCGAAGGAGTGGCGAGTGGTGGTACGGTTGTGGAAGAATCACTGAGCCCAAGAGTGCTACACCGGTGTTAGAGGGCCCTCGGGTCAAGTACAATTAGCCCGCTATCACGTCCTTATCACATAATATTTTCGTAGTCGATGTTTATCAGTGAAATATAAACCTTTCAATTGCCGCTCGTACGACTGCCACCGGGGAGGGGTGGCAGGAGGGAAGCTCTCTATTGGTCGAGGAGTGGAGCCCCTCCCCCCGCCCAGCCCCGCCGACCCCCGCTACCACCGCCGATTTATTACCCACAATTCCGGGTAGAAAGCGAAGGGCGCTCGACAGCACTCGATGAGGAGAAGTGTCGAGGTGTCTAGGTGCGAGAGCGAGCGCATGTCTACTACTCCCAGCGTACTCCCGGGTTCCTCCTCGTCCGGGTTTTCTAGCGGGGTGCTCCAGGATGCGGATATCCTACCGGAGCTGAATGGCGCCGACCTGGCCATGTCCCTGAGCCCCAAGCACCAACCGCACACCACGCCGTTCTCAGTAACCGATATCCTCAGTCCCATAGAAGAGAGCTACCGCAAGCTGGAGCTGTGCGCGCCCGGCAGTCCGTACCGCAGCAGCGGCAGCGGCAGTTCCGGCGGATCTACCGGTCCTGCGGCCTCCTCACCGGCCAACCCCTACACGGCCATGCACGTCCATCAGTTCCCCTCCAACTACTGTAACGGCGGCGATCTGGGTGTCGGCTACGGCAACTCCGCCGCTGCCCCGTGGTACGGTGCCTCCGCCAACGACCCGAGATTCGCAAGTGAGTGTCGAGTTTTGGTTATGTAGTGTGCAGTGATGTAGGTATTTGGTAGTGCGTGCTAACAGGTAAGTAAAGTAGATTTTTGATCAGGGGAATTTATTTTTATATTTTTGTTATTTCGACTGTGACAACTCTTCTGCATTCCTGACTGTAATAAATATTGATCTGGAGAGTTTAACTTATCAAAACTTACCAACTTACCTCTTAACTTAATCTCATATCACGACTTGTGCATAATCGGTTTTAAGATTAGTTTCTGAATGTTGCTAAAATCCAAAGTAGCAAAGCAGGCGTTAATCTCACTTATTGATAGTAACCTCTACATCACCTCAAATATTTATCTAGACACAAAATTTTATCCCAGATTCCCAGCAAAATAACTCTTAAACTCTCTTTTTTTATTTGGTTTCTAAGAAGAAAACATTGAATTAGTTCAAAATGGAAGGTTAGGGCTTATGTTATTAGACTATATAGTAACAAATTTCAATGAAATTTAAATTTAGTTAAAATTTATTTTTAAAGTCATATTCTCTACTTCAAAGTGACAAACACTTTATAGTCCTAAAAGCGTCGTTAAACGCTCAGAATTCCTTGACGTCGGACCCACCCCTTCCTGTGATCTATTTAGGCTATTAGTACATATCGTGGTTATTTCCTGTATACCTAAACATCATATTGTAGATATCAGGCTACCTATTGTACTACAAATCTAATACCGATATGGGTATAAATTTATGCAATTGTTTCGTTCGCTACCGATCGCCACATATATGCGACGCTGCGGTTATTGCCACGGCCCGAGGTATACATTTTAATATTACACATAGACCGGGTGTCACCTGATACAAATAGACCGTTTTACAAGATATACGCTTTGTAATAGCATTGGACACCGACGTAAATATGCGACGTCAGTCTATAATGTGACCAGCCGTCGCATATGTGCGTAGCTGGTCCATTTATATGAAAATGTTAGTACTATTACGATAACGAACGTTTTTAGGGGAAGAAATTGGTATAATTTATTAGGTAATACACTCGTAATACACTGCTTTATATTTGTCCAATCAATACTTTTTGCAACGCCGTTTAATTGGCTTACATTAGCAATAATCAATGGCTAAGTCAACGTTCAAAGTAATAAATTGATTTTAAAGTACTTTACTTTGTCAAATCTTGTTTAAATTGCCTAATTATAAAGCCTGTAGGCTACGGTAATACAATCAAGCATTGCATTATGATTCGTTGGAAGCTATATGCAATAATTATTGATTATTTAGACTTTGTGTAGCATATATATGCGTTTCACACAAGTTTATTAGACAGTATCTATGCAAAGCACATCAGCAGCTAGGTATGGATATAAGCCACAGTGTATTAGTTTAGAATTGCTATGTTTCGTGCTATAAGCAGAAATAGTCGTCCATTTATTTGTAGTGTGATACCGAATACATGACAAACTACGGTAGTTTAAAACGGGTTTTATCTGAATTAATATAAAATAATGTAATACCATTGGTTCTTCAACCGCGAGTAACACAAAAGGATTTACCTTTAGATATCTAGTATAGTACAATATCAGCTAAAGATATTACATACCGGTATGTCTATAAAAATGGGTTCGGGTACAGAAATATGCGTTTTCGTTTTAAACAAAACTCTTTCCAAGTTATATTTTTATTTATATTAAAACCAATAAATCTTACTGCTCACTTTATATTAGGCAACACAAAATTAATCATCGTGCTAAAAACATAAAAAACTGTAAAAATAAAAACCCCACCACAGAAAACCTACAGACTAAGCAAATTTATATTTGCCTCATTGTTTTTTTCATTTTTTACTTAAATATTATATCCTTAAGAATGTCATATTTATTACCTATTTAAATAGCATTAGTTTAATGAGAACAGTAGCCCTACTTAGTTTTGCTGCTACAAGGATGGGAATAGATAACGTGTGTTTTAGTAACACTGCAATAGTTTAGTATTAACTGAATACATTTTCCAAATTTAATCAAGATACGTTCATAAACAAGCAAACTACAGCAGTTTTCTCATTATACATAAAAATAACAAAGTAATTTTAAATTTACAGTGTTTAGGAATTTTCTCCTAAGCCAACCATTGCTTTAATGTAACAAATAATTTGTTTTTTAAAACTCTACAAAATGGTTAACAAAAAATGCAATGTTTTATGTTTTTAATGTCAAAAAGTGAAAAACCAATGCTTACCCCATAAAACCCCAAGTAACCCCGTTTCCATATTCCGATCGTGCTGGTTCGCGAAATTGTTTGAATAAATGTAGGTTTACAAGTTTATACAAAATTTAATCAAAAACAGATAATTTTTGCTCGAGTTATCGTGCTAACGGATATGTATGTAGGTACATGTAAACCTACATAAAATATGAATACCATATACTGTATAAGTTATTCAATTTATAATGAATTTGAACGAATGGTGGCGTTTTTGGTCTCTGGGGCCTCAAAACGAAAAAGTAAATTAGTAATTGCTTATTGTGTATATGGAAGGCTCACCAAAATTTTATATGAAAAAAGTGTTTTTTTTAGAATTTAAATTTGATTGTTTAAATCTGCAAACCAGGCCTAATATATTAACTACAACGGCAGTGTTTAGTGCGGGTGCTAAATAATAATAACCTATACAGTCTAAAAAATATATCTAGCTATATTGGGTACATAATTCAAAGTAATAAAATTGTCAATATTATTATTTCGGTTAGTTTTTATAATCATTATTCTTATTTATGATACCTTATATTTAATGAAATAATAAAAATGAAGTGCTAATGTACCGTAGCGTGAGTATACTGTTCTACTCCGCCATTGCATTAACACCAAAATAAATTATAAATAGGTACTTTTACCTTGTACAGAAATTTAATAAGACATTGAAATACATGACACACGCATAACAAACACCAAGATATGCATGCGCATCAGGGTTGGGTGATTCGACGCGTTTTTAAGTTCGTAGAGGTTATTTTCTCAGTTTTGACATAAAAAATCCACAACAGATTACGTACTTCGAAACCTTAAATGTAGTATTAGTTTAAGCTTATATTATTCATAAACAGACCATACCTAAAACATATCTGTTTAGCATTATCAACACTACCGCAAGCGCAAGGTACTGATAATAAAACCGAAATAGCTTTAAAACTAATTCTAGTAGTGAAATTGAACCAAAAATATGTATTGTGCAAACCTCTTCATTTTCACTTCACGTTGTAAATTAAACATGTACAGTAATTGGGATTTCTTCCATTTGTTTTGATTTATGTTTATATTTCATTGTTAGATTGTACATTAAATAAAGTAAAAAATATCGTCATATCGTCACAAGCATGGCAACAAAACCCATGTAATTTTTTTATTTTAAATTAATTTTTTGTGCTTATTTCATAGTCTTTGTTAATCTATGGGTATAGATTCTGCACATCTACAGGCAACTATATTTCTAACAGTGATATAGCACACCCCTGTGGTCTCAGCACACACTTTATGACATTTTATAGAAACATTTGTGGCATGTTGTAGGTAGTGGAAACCGCCTTTTTGGTTTAGAATTATATTGTGTAGGCTGATATGAGGAAAACTTGCCAAAAGTTTCGAATTACATTTTCTCATAATTTACCTTTTTTCTTTACTTTTGACATTTTAAATTTCCATTTTGAAGTTTTAAAACTACTAATTATTAAATTTTAATGAACTTTTTTTAGGTGTTATAAACTTTAGAAAAATTGCTGTGCCTTATTACTAGTCTTTTGAAATATTAAAGAAACTATATCTATACTAAAAATCCCCCGCCGCAGCAAACCTGCAGACTAAGCGACTTTCCGTTTGCCTGAATTGATTTAAATAAAATTGTTTTAAATAACATTGCGTTTAACGAGTACCTAGGCTGCTGCTGCAGGGATGCTAATAAAGTGTGGTGTTTAGTAAAATATTAGTAGCTTACTATAAAAAAAATTTGCCAAATATGATCAAAATATTTCCATAAACAAAAAAAACTACAACATTTTACAATATTCTCCAGAAGGAATTTTAATTTAATTTTTTTTTCTCCGTAACAAATAACCGCGAAAAATACTTTGGAAGTCAGGAAATGTTGTGTTTTGAGGGTCAAAAATGACACTATTTTTACCTCATAAACCCCCCGTAAAACCCTGTTCCAAGGCCACTTGCCTGTTCCCATGGTCCGATCATGCTGGTTTGCGATATGCGAACTCATTCAAGTTTATCACGGCTACACCTTCAAACCAAATTTCATCAAAGTCAGACAAAAATTACTCAAGTTCATGGACGTATATATATAAATTTGAACGAAGTGTGATTTTTTGTTTTAGGGACATCAAAATTAGAAGTATATTGGTCTCGGCTCCAGGTCTTTTATCGTGAACCTACGGTAATAGCTACTTTCCTATTCGCTAAAAGTTGTAAATTATTAATTTAGCTCGTATAAGTAGTAAATGCCTTTACGGATTTATTTTTAAGGAAATACAAATAAACTTTATTTCTATATCTTCAGGAGGGTACATATTATTAAATTTACAAATGAATTTAGAATTAAATACTTGAATTTAATTTAAGCATTTAAGACGGCAGACAAAACTAATATGATTATCAAAACATCATGGACTAAAAAAATAACAGTACATACAGTATATGTTTCATTGTATCTCTGAATCTACTCTACAGTATAAAAAAAATCACACAGTACAAAAAATCGACGAACAACATAATATGTATACAAACCAGTTATTTTAATCGGTCCCATAGCCCATTGCCTTTAAATTTTCAGACAGACATTTAATTGATTTTAGAAACAAAATTACATTGTTTATAGCTTAGTTGTATGATACTTTCCTTGGTTTAATTTATTCAGTGGAGTAGCAAGGCACAAATAAATTTATCAAATGCAATAAAATAAATGTTGACTGCAAGCTAAGTTAAGATAAAATAGGAGTATTTTCT